TTGCTTTGTATTATTTCCATTATGATTATTATCACTGATATCAATCACAGTATTTTTATCCTGGGTTTCAAAAGTTAACATTTTAGATTTCAGTGTGTTTTTTAAGTTTTGATGATTTCATTCTTCTTTGTATAGAAAACCAACACATGTGTTGTATAATGAACCATATGTAACTAATGTCTGTCTCTCTGTGTCTGTCTGTCTGTCTCTGCCCCCCCCCCCCCCCCCCCCCCCCCCCCCCCCCCCCCCATCCTCCTGTCCGTCTCCAGAACATCTCGCGGTCGTGGACATCCGGACACAGACGCAACCAAATCCAATGAAACAATCAAAGCGATCAACACACACGTATCCCGACAGAATCCATCGTCCTAACCAAGATAAATTATTCCTCGTGAACTGAACCAAAAAAAAAAAAAAGAGAAAAGAAAAATGTGACTATCACACCATTGTACATTAAAGGGCAGCCCCTCCCGAGCCCACCATCTTACACCCGCTGAAGAGACTCCCCCCTCCCCCTCCCACACGTCCAGACGAACGAGACGAGTCCCTCAAAGGGCTTCACCCCCCCCCTCCAACTCAGCCATGGACTCTCTGAGGTGCTCAGGTCCTTACTGGTCTCCAGCAGCCGGCCTTCCATCTTGAACCTGGATCCAAGCCTGCGAGTCATCTGTGTCCAACCCTCCCATGGCCTTAACTGGGGAGAGGAGAGGAAGCAGAGCAGGGGAGGAAGGAGGAGAGGAGAATGAAAAGGCTGGAAGGCATCGACACGTGGAGGAGTGGGAACTAAGAGAAACAGTCTTGTACAGTATTCTGTGGGCCTCTCATTTCACCACAGGACTCCGACTTGGTGACATCCTCATAAAAAGACTCCGGTGTGCTTCTTCTTTCTTTTTCTTTTTTTTTTGACTCATGCCAATGACATGAAACACTTCTGGTCTGGTTCGTGCACACCGGGGCGGCCGACAGGGAGGGGGAGCGTGAAGAGGAAATAATGAAAAGTGGGATGTTGGTTGAAGGTGGACTCGGGGCGGAGAGGTAGTCTGAGCACGCTCAGATCTGGTTGGGAGGGACGAAGGGGCCAGCAATGTTGTTTACGCTCCTGCTGTGTAACATGTGTGTATGTACACTATGTGGTGTGTGTGTGTGTGTGTG